GTATTACAATTATTTAGATTACGAGCGAGTGTAGTTGAATTCCCCGAAAAACCCGATGTTTTCCGATGACGAAAGATATACTTGATTACTAATTTCTATACGCCACAACGAATGATTTTGATTACTCTTCCTTGATTACTCGGGTGGTGTCGGAGATTATCAATTCTAGTGAGTCGTTATAACTATGCCTGATAATGGCTGGTTATAACTTCCAACTACAAACGACCCTTAGAGGTGCCGTCCGTTATTACTCACTTAATCCAAACCACCTTGATTACTATTGATTAACGACCTGAGTCTGTTTAGTTGATTACCCACAAGCCTTAGCAAACGAGAGAAGAGGAGTATGAAGTCCTACCACTTTCGTGAGTTACTTTAGGCTGTCGGGGATGCGAAGAACACGTTTGGCCCATCTCGCATATGATTACTTTGACCTTACTAGCAATACTAATGGACCACTAGGGCCCAAAAGCACATAAAAAGCCATTGAGGTCCCTTTATATGGAATTGCATCATAGGAGGCCTAATAACATATAATATTTCCCTTGGGCCCTAAAGATCATGTTAATGGATTTGCAAGGTCCAACAAGCATGATTTGAAACTTTCAAGCCCAAGTGTCGAATGTTTACTTGTCTTAGGTATCGCATAACTACTGGAGGGTTCGATTGAACGATTGTTGTTTTTGTATCGACTTGAGACCGGTGGATTTGTTTACAACGATATTTGGATTTATGCGTGTATTCATCTTACAATTTTTCGTAAGTCCTAGTTAGTATTTTTGGCTCGATATCTTTAAATGAATTAATTTACTTTAGAATAGTGGTCTGACCTTTTCAACCCCTTTCTTTATAAAAATAACAATTTTAATCCTTTATATAAAAGAAAAGACATTTTAAGCCCTTAAAACATTTTCTTGACACTTTTGCATCATAGACTTGTTTAAATGATATTTTTGACTCAATACTTATACTTTGGCAGTTTCAGCCCTTCCATAATAGTATTTTTCGGTTAAAGGCCAACTTTTTGCAATTTTTACAATTTTTGCCCAAAATCCAAAAACTTTACATTTTGATCCTTTTTGAAAATGAAAAGCATTTTTAACCCTTGAAATAGTTTTGTTACACTTTTTATCCCCTGTTTTGAAGAAATTGCCACTTCAGCCCCTTTAAATGTCATATTTTCGGAACTTTGGGTTTATTGGGCCGAAAAGCCCAAAATTTAGCCCATTAAGCTAATATTTACATTTTAAGTCCTTTGGAGGTTATAATGTCCATAAAAACAATTATTGTAACTGTTTTGACTCTTTTGACCTTTAAGAAACCGTGATTTGGCAATTTTTAACCCAACTTTTGTATTTTTGACAATTTAAGCCCAAAATGAGTTTTGTGGTGAAATATATTTATCACAATCATATAAGTTATTATTCTTGACTTGTTTAGTGTAAAATAACTTAGATTATGTTTGATTTCTTTATTATGTCATAGATCTCGAGATATCTTCCCTTGTGGTTACATGTTCATCACAAAAACACATAAAAACACATACATGCATAAAATCAACATAGCATACACATACACATAGATCTACACATTTTCTTGTATTCTCCCCCATAAACATAATAAAAACCGAAAAGAGAGGGTTATGAAGCTCAATTTGCTTGTTGTTTTCGGTTTAGAAGGAAGAATGAAGAAAGTTTTTGATCCTAGCAAGTCTTCTTGGAAGATCTCGAACTTAGAGGCTTCTAAGATGGTGATCACGAGTTTGAATAGATTAGGAGGAGGTTTTTTTTGATGAAATGAAGTAGTTAGATCATAGATTAAACATCACTTACCTTAGATGATGAATTTTGTGGGAATAATCTCCTTGAAAAGCCCTTAGATCTCGAAAATTTGATGATGAAGAATTTGAGTGAATGTGTGTGTGTGTTTTCCTTTGTGGTTCTCGGCCGAGAATAGAAAAGAGAGAGGAAGAGAAGTGAGTGAAGTGATGTGTGCATGGAAGTATGTGTTGGTGCGTGGAAGACCAACATATAATAATGAGGTGGCAATCCTAAAGTCAACTCCTTCCCCGTTTGTGTTGTTGGGTCGAGAAGAGGAGAAGAAAGAAGAGAGATTGGGCCCTTTAATGCTTAAGCCATATTTGATCCACTTAGGTGATTTTCGGCCGAAAATAAATCAAGGAATGATTTTTATGATTCATTAAGGCTATTTAAATTTGTTGTGGCCCAATAAGGCCCATTAAAGTTAACCTAGTTCATTTAGGCTTATAAGGCCCAAATATTAAGTTTCATGTATATGGGTCCAATTAGGGCCCATTTGAGAGTTCTATGTTCAAGATAGTTAAATTGGAAGCTTGTTGGTCCATTAGGCCCAATAAGAAGATCCTTATCCAAAATGGACTTAAACCGGGATTTCTAGGCTTCGAATTCTTTATTGACCATTTGTAGTGCTTGAATAAAGTGTTTGATGGGAGTTTTGTTGTTATTGAATAAGCATCATACATGCTTTCACATTGTTGGTTCACGATTGATATAATTGTTGTAGTTACAAAGCATCAAAATTCCTAGTTGTGACACATGTCCTTAACGAATTACTTTTGATCCAACGCTCCACTTTTAATTCTCGGGTTCTCGGGAAACTTTGAGTTCTCAACCGATCTTAACCCTATATATAGGTTGAGATCGGTTGAGAACTCATAGTTTCCCGAGAACCCGAGAACTAAAAGTGGAGCGTTGGATCAAAAGTAATTCATTGAGGACATGATCGTCATCTTACCAATCTCATTAAATGTTTAATTTTTTTGTGTTATTTAACATATTAATATAAACGTCTAAAAATTTACATCATAAATCAAATTTTCATATTTTTTTAAAAATAGTATTTTTCGTTTTTTTTAAATGCAGATTTTTTAATTTTTTATAGAAAACATGAATTTTTGAAAAAAAAATTGAAAAAATATTTTTTTAAAAAAACTGCAATTTTTTTTAAAAAAACTGCATTTTTTTCAAAAAAACTGCAATTGTTTTAAAAAACACTGCATTTTTTTCAAAAAAAACTGCAATTTTTTTAAGAAAACTGCATTTTTAAATAAAAAACTACAGTTTTTTTAAAGAAAGTTACATTTTTTTCAGAAAAAAACTATATTTAAAAAAAAAAAACTGCAATTTTGTTTAAAAAAACTGCATTTTTTTTAAAAAAAAAACATTTTTTAGGTGCATATGTGCATATTTTTTCAAATGCACATATGTACATTTCTTATACTATAATATTCGTAAGTAAATCACAACAAATCTCACATTTATTAATTAATTTATAAACATAATAATACAAGTATTTTATTCGATACAAAATAAAATATAAAAAATAAAAAATGCTAAAAATTTCAAAGCGTTTTCATGTCTTCGTGTCAATATTTCCTTATTTTCTTCAATTTATCATTTTTCACATCTTCAATATTCACCACAATTTCTTCCGAATCTACAAGAAAATTAAAAAAAAAAATTATTGATGCGAAAGCACTCACAAAAATACATATGTGATTTTCATGTGATTAACATATGAATCACATGCAATTCACATATGAATCACATTTACATATGACATCATATGTAAATCACATGTGATTTATATATGAATCACATGTGAATTACATGTGAATCAAATGTGAATCACATATGATTTACATGTGAATCACATTTGATTTATATGTGAATTGCATGTAATTCATATGTGATTTACATATGAATCGCATGTAATTCATATGTAATTTACATGTGAATCGCATGTAATTCATATGTGATTTACATGTGAATTACATGTAATTTATATGTGAATTATATATGATTTACATGTGAATCGAATGTAATTTATATGTGAATTACATATGAATTAAATGTAATTCATATGTGATTTACATATGAATCACATGTAATTCATATGTGAATTAAATGTGATTTACATGTGAATCACATGTAAATGTGATTTACATGGGAATCATATGTGACCAACTTGTGATTTACATGTGAATTACAGGTTATTCATATGTGAATTACATGTAATTTACATGTGAATAACGTGTAATTGTGATTTACATGTGAATCACATGTGATTCATATGCGATTTACATGTGAATCACGTGTAATTGTGATTTACGTGTGAATCACATGTGATTCATATGTGAATTACATTTGAATCACATGTAATTCATAGATTCTTCATTAAAAAAATTACAGTTGATGAACGGAAGTAACACTGACATTCAAAACAAGTAATGGCCCAAATTACTAGTAGATAGCACCAAAGATAACAGAAACATGATGCCAAACAACCCTAAATCAGAGCAAAATTTTACAGCAAAATAACGAACTCTCGTCTCTCAGCGGATCTCTGTTTTTTTTCAAACGGTGAGTATCAGAGCAAAATTCAAATTATGAATAATTTGATCGGGCCTCTATTGGGCCCCAACCAAGGCTTATTGGTCCAATTATGAAATACTTATAAGAAAAATACGTTATACAAATAACAAAAGTTGTAAAAAGTTTATGGTGTCGTATTTTCTAAACATTTCATCATCAACTTTAGGTTTCTTCATGAAATTTTATTTATCTAAAATAAAATCATATACATCACACTTGTGCAGCAAGACGTGATCACATTCAATGTTCAAGTTAAATAAGCTACATAAATTAAAGACGATACTGTTATGAGAAATTTTTTTTACACCAAAAGTTAATATCTTTCAAAGTGTAATGATTTGCAATTGCAAAATCAGATGTTGGAACGGATTTAGGAAATGTTTCAAGGGAAAACTTTTTGCTCATGGAAAAGATTACTGAATGTGAAGCGTTGGTTATGGAGTATAGAGTTTATAAAAGCAAACATGTAGTTGTTTCTGCTGAAAAACTTTAGGTTGAAAGTCTTTTAAAAGTACAAGTTTTTGATAATCAGAAACTTCTAAAAGATTTGTCATCCGTGAAGGAAGAATTAGAAAGTTTCAGATCTCAAATTCGTAATCTTGAGAAGGAAAAAGATATGGCAAGATCAGATATGCCAAACAACCCTAAATCAGAGCAAAATTCGACAGCAAAATAACGTTGTAATTGAATAACGTACCCATCGAAAGGCTTCCTTCCAGTCAAAATCTCCAAAAGCAGCACTCCAAACGCATAAACATCGTCCTTTTGGTTACCAGTTCCAGGTTTCATGTGTTCATAAGAAATGCCACCAGTATCCGTTTCTGAAGCCTAATTAAATCATCATCACCATTAAGTAACATAATCAAAAGAATAAAAAGGGATAAGAATTATTGTGGGAGCCAGAAACATGTACCAGAGCTCTAGCACTGCTAATTGTTAGGGGCTTCAAAACAGTGAGATAGCAGTCGGAGATCCGAGGCGTTAGATCTTCATCAAGTAAAACATTAGCAGCCTTCAATTTTCTATGAGCTAAAGGAGGCGCACATGTCGTATGCAAGTAGCTGAATTAAACAGCAACGAAATTGACATTCAAAATTACCGAATCAACCCTAGAACAAAGGAAAAGGAAAATCGGAATTTGTGAGATGCTTACTTCAAAGCTCCAACGATTCCAAGAGCGATTCGAAGACGAAGCCCCCAAGATATTATATGCAAATCTTTTGATTCCTATTATACCTGTTCACCGTCGACACAGGCGTCGGCAACATTACCCTAGCTCAGGACAAATCCGGTAACAGATCTAACGTTGGTGAGCCATGTGATGTCTCTCCTTCTCCTGCTACTTCTGATTCTGCTTCATGTTCAACTTGAGCTTATACATAGGGAGGTGAGGGGGGCAAGGATCCATTCGTCGGGTCTTCATCGACGATTTAGAGATCAGAGAGCATCGATGGCTGGAAGCGGGATGTGAGAGAGAGATAGATAGAGAGAGAGAGAGAGAAAGGTTTGGGTTTGATGTGAAACGTGAATTCAATCCAATCTGATAATAGGATCTGTTATACCTAAATTGTCCCTTGATTTATTTCGAAAAGATACCCCCGTGTTTAAGTTATTTGAAGTATTTATAATTATGCCACAAAACATCTTGACCTTCTATTATTTTGATCTAACGATCATTGTTTAGTTCTCGGGTTCTAATGAATATATAGGTTCTCAAATGATCCTTACTCTATATATATATATATATATATATAATATATATATATATATATATATATATATATATATATATATATATATATATATATATATATATATATAGGGAAAGGTTATTTGGAAAACAAAAAAACCCTAAAAAAACCCTAAAAATCTTAAAAATGCATAAAAAAATACCTAGAGATCACAAAACTTTTTTTGACATTTTTTATGAAAAAATCGCAGGTTTTAAAGAAATTCGTTGAAAAAAATTTTGAAATTTTTTTTTTAATAAATAAAAAAAAAAACCTATTTTTATTTTTGTTTTCAGCGAATTTTGATAAAAAGCTGCGATTTTTTTATAAAAAAAATTCAAAAAAGTTTTGTGATCTCTAAGTATTTTTTTATGCATTTTTCTGATTTTTAGGGTTTTTTAGGGTTTTTTGTTTTCCATAGAACCTAAACCTATATATATATATTATATATATATAATATATATATATATATATATATAATATATATATATATAAGATTAAATAAGAACCTTTAAAGGTTAAAAACCACTTAATAATCTTTTTTTTTATTAAGGTATAACATAAGAATTCATTTTCATGTTTTATTATTTCTGATCTACATACACTATACACATTCTCACATTGATATATTCTCTCTCATCTCAAACTTGAAGAACACACAAACATTATCACCGGTTGCCACCAGTCACCACACCCATATTGTCGCCGCCTCCTGTCGCCACACCCATATTCTCTCTCATCTCAAACTTGAAGAACACACACACATTATCACCGGTAAACCACCACCATCAGATCTACAAGCTTCGGTTGGCTCTAGATCTCAGCTCAGATTTACGATTTTTAGCTTTAGATCTATGATTTTTAGCTTCAGATCTACGTTTTTTTATTCAGATCTATGACTTTTGTCTTCAGATCAATGATTTACTCCTCCAAACTTGCGAGCTCCGGCGAGTGTCTTAACCACCACCTTCGTCCATCACTATTAACGCTAATTCTTCTTCCATGTCGTTAATCTACCACCAACGGAAATATAGATCTGATAAAATTTGATGAAAATACGTCTATATCCACCATCAATCGCCACCTGGTCTCAGATCTAGAGTCACAGAGTTGTTTCAGCATAACTTTGCCTCTCTAAAACTTAAAACATCTTAGATCTTGTGCGATTTGGTCAAATATGATACCACCTTCATCATCGTCAACTTTGTTTCCACCATCACTACTACCACTGATGTCTACCACAACCTCCTACTATCGACATCATGTTTAGATCTGGTGTATGTGGTTCGAGTTTTCTAGATCAAGTTTGTGTGGTGCTATTTCATGTATATATCTGAAGCTATAATAGTGGTACTAGTTGCCGATGGTAGTTCCACCACCTTAGATATGTTCCAGCACAACCACCTCATCCATCTATATTTCTCTGATCTCAAATGAAACACATTGGATATGTCCACTTTTATTTTAATTATTTTGTCGTCTGTTAAGCTGTGAATTTAATGCTTTAATCTCTCATTTATTGTTTATTTTTGTTAATCATAGTTTTTTCTATTATTAACTTGTGAATTAATGTTTGTTTCTTATTTTTTATAATATTTTCATCAAATTGTTATTCACAATTTATATTTTATGGTTGTTATACTGTAATGAAATTAGAATATGTGTTATTATGTTAATGTTTTCACAAATAATGTGAATTTATTTTTTTAAGTTGATGTGAATTATGAGCATTTGATCTGGTATGGGGGATTGAAGAACACAAAGAACACGGTGATTTGGGTGCTAAAAGATGTATTCGATCATAGAAATGAGTACAAAAATGGTACTAAATCAAGAGCCCCCTAAATATCTTACTCCCTAGTCACTATGAACTACATCTCTTAAGCACACCTCAACAAGTGGTATGGAACGCACCTTATATACAGGTGTTTACATCTCTCTCTCTCTCTCAATATATATATATATATATATATATATATATATATATATATATATATTGTAACATCCCGTTTTAAGTTGAGTAATTAAATAATAAATCAGGAACCCCGGGAAGTAATTATTATTATTATTTTATATTATTTGAGCCCAAAATGTAATAATAATTAGTGGGGTGTTGGTTCCAGGAAGCCAAATGGTAGGAATTGAATCTCCAAGGATTAAAGTATCTTTTGGGGACTAATTTGTAAGGATTATGGAAATAGGGACTAAAGAGTAAGTTCTGGACCTAAGATGAGAAGATTTTGTAGAGGAGGGGCTAATTGGTAACATTTTGGACTTGATTTGTAAAGGGTTTCAGGGGGCAGGGTTAGAAGTGTAAATTTGGGATCAATTTTGAAAGGAAAAGAGAAGGGAAGGACCGGTCTTGTCATTTTGGAAGGAAGTTATATGGGAGGCGGGTATATAGTCCCGGTAACCCTAACCCTACAACATCCAGCCGCACCTCCCTTATGCCCCCTCTTCTAACAGCCGCCAACCCCACTCTTCCCTCCGGTCGGCGCCGCCATTATACCACCACGGGTGCCGCCGAAGAGCTGTGAACGTCGAAGATGAAGCCACCGCCGGACACCCTTCCCCGTCGCTGTTGCTATGCCGTTCACTTCACCCTTTCTTCTCCACCATTTCAGCGACAACTCAGCCATGAACCGTCGCCGCTGCTACCTGTGATGTCGTGGTCGGCCAAGAGTGAACCACCGAAGGCCACTTCGGAGCTGTGAATACCGACACGTGCGTCATGATCAGCTGAAGTCGCCGCCACCTCTTTCTACCCTCGCATTGTGCCGCCGTCTCCACCCTTGCGGTTGTTTCCCTCCGACGAGATCGAGTGGCCGCCGGGAACACCCGCTGCCACCCTCTTCTTCTTTTCCATTCACTCACCGCTGCTGTTGTGCGTGTTTTGAGTCTACATGTCTCAGGTTGCTGCTGCCGGAGAAAAGTCAAGGAAAAACCACCATGGCCGCCGACCATGGTGGGTGCCGCCTCAAGGACCGCCATGAGGGTGTGTATGTTGCTGTGTGTGTATTATTTTGTGTCTGTGTGTTATTTAGACACTATTGTAAATTGTAACAAAAAATATGAATAATGAAAGAAAAGTCTAACCACCACCTTGAGGTGGTGGTTGCCGCCTCCTGCCGCCACCGGCCGCCGTGTCGGGTGGCGGTGTAATTTGATTGCGTTTGGACCTCGTTTGGGGGATGTTTGGACAATGTGGAATCAAGGAAACCCTAATGGGCCCAAAGAAGCCCTAGTGGGCCCAATGGAGCCCTAATGGGCCAATAAGGCCCAATGTGACCTAAAAGCCCAACCAATGGACTAATGGGGCTAGTATTGGGTTAAGAAACCCTAATTAGGGTTTGGAAAACCCTAATGCCAATAAAACCCAAATTTGGGGAATTAACCGGGACACACGGGAATTATTTAATAACTTGAAATATTAAATAATAATCATTGGCAGAAATTACTCTAAGCAACATTGGACTTAATGGATTAAGTCCTTAGTGGATTAAGTCCTTAGTGGGTAAGTCCTTAATGGGTTAAGTGAGAAACACTTAACCCTAATCATCATTTTATGTGAAACCCTAATTTCACTTGGGCCTTGAGTTGGGCCTTCCTATAGGGTTTTGGTGGTTGGACTATTGATGGACCATCCCAAAACAAGTTAATGGACCAAAGTAATTAGATGGGCTTTAGGATAAGGCCCATGTGAGGACTTGGGCCCAATTTGGAAAATTGGGCCATAGATGGGCCATAATTGGGCCTTTACGGTTATGTGATATTAGGCCATGGGAATTGGACTGGAATAATTGGATGGGCCTTAAGAAAAGACCATGTAGAGGTCTGTGCCCAATTTGGAAAATTGGGCCATATGTTGGGCCTTGGCCCATTACTTGACTTTTGGGATTTTGGAGTGTGAGTTTGACTTTGAGCTTGGGACCCAATTATTAATTGGGTATTGTTTGATGTTGACAGTTCGGGAAGCTGTCAACCAGCAGCTAGAGCTTATTCTGCCGGACTTCAGCAGTGACAGGTGAGTTCTCCTCACTATATCAACAGGGTCTACGGCACCAAGGCCGGCCCTTTATGATTGTATCCTGGTTTTAGGATGTTGCTATGCTATGTGATCTGTTAGATCCGTACGATTATCTGTATATATGTTAGTGACCTGGTTAGGTCGGTATCGTGGTTATAGGATGTTGCTATGCTATGTGATCTGTTAGATCCGTATGATTATCTGTACATATGTTGGTGACCTGGTTAGGTCAGTATCCTGGGCATAGGATGATGCTATGCTATTTGATCTGTTAGATCGGTTGACTGTTATATATGCTAGTGTATGATATGTATGTGCACATGTTTGTTTGATTGGGGGTTTGGGTTGAGGCGGTCCTGCTTTGTGCTGAAGGCCAACATACCCAGGGCGGTCCGGATAGACTACAGACCCAGGAGGGTATGATAGTCAGACCGAAGGCCCGAAGAGCGGTCCGGATAGGCTGAAGGCCCTACGAGGCGGTCCAGACGTGCCGAAGGCGCGGAGAGAGGTC